GGGTAAGTGAATTCTACAGATTCATGACTCTTTGATAAAAGTAATTTCTCCTGTTTTAAATCTGCCACCCCTTAACCAAATAGGCAGATCAACGGCAAAAGGAATTTAACCCGAATAAATGTGAAATGATGCACTCTAGAAGATGTAACACGACAAGGATGTACTCAATCAATGGCAAAGCACTAGGAAGGTCAGAACAGAAGGGATCTTGAGGTGCTTTCCACAGATCCCTGAAGGTTACAGGACAGGTTAATAGGGTACTTAAGAAGGCATAAAGGATGCTTGCTTTTGTCTGTTGTGACATAGATTATAAGAGCAGGGAAGTCATGCCAGAGCTGTACAGTACTTTTGTTAGGCCATAGCTGGAATACTGTATGCAGTTCTAGTCACATTATAGGAAGGATGTGATTGCATTGGAAGGAATGCAGAGGAGATTCACCAGGATGTTGCTTGGGATGGAGAATTTTTAGCTATGGAGAGAGGCTGGATAAGCTCAGATTGTTTTTTTTGGGATAGAGAGGGATGAAGGGTTACCAGATAGAAGTGTATAAGATTATGAGGGGCATGGGCAGGGTGAATAGAAAGCAGTTGTTCACCTTAATTGAAGGGTCAATAACAAGGGGTCATAATTTTTAATTGAAAAGGTGGAGGTTTAGAGGGGACTTGCGGCATAACTATTTATTCCAGGTATTGGTGGTGGGGGTCTGAAATGCATTGCCTGGGAGGATAACTGAGGCAGGAAACCTCTCTAGTTAGATTATAAATTGCCTGTCTGTCATCCAACCAAAATGGAAAACCTCTCACTTATCCACATTAAACTTCACTTGCCAAAGTATGGCCTATTCACCTAACTTATCCGTATCAATTTACAAATTTATTATTTCTTCATTGCAACTTACTTTTCCACCCACATCATCTGCAAACTTGGCTATAGTATTTTCTACCTCCACATCCAGATCATTAAAACAGATTGTAAATAGTTGGGGCCTCAAGGACCAAATGCTGTGTCTCTGCCTTGGATACATCTTGCCAACCAGAAAGATCAAAATTATCCCAACTCTCTGCTTTCTGTTGCTTATAAATAGTTTGCTCAGTACTTTTTCCCTCATGATTGTTCCTCCTGTTCTATTATCTCTGCATTACCTGTCATTATTGGGATGATACTAGTGTTCTCCACTGTGAAAACTGAAGACTATCATTTCTGTGTTCCCCACTATTAACTCCCCTGCCTCATCCTCCAAGGGATCAACATTCACTTTAGCTACTCTCTTCCCTTTTATATACTTATAGAAGCTCTTTCTATCCGTTTTTCTTTCATAATTTACCTTAGCTCTTTTTATGACTTTTTTTCTAACCCTTTGGAGTTATTTTTATAAAGTTAATCAACCTTCCAGCCTGCCACTCCCTTTGCAACATGATATCTCTTGAATTTTGTCTTTATATTATCTTTAACTTTGTTCTTTAACCATGGATGTTTCCCCAACCTCTTACAATCTTCCTTTCTTTCTGGAATATATTTTAGTTGGGAACCATTACTTCCTTAAACATTTGCCAGTGCTCATCAACTGTCCTGCCTTTCAGTCTTCACACCCAGTCCACTAGGACTAGATCTATCCTCATGCCTGTGTAATTACTTTTGTTTAAGTTCAGAACGCTAGCAATGGACTCCAGTTTCTTATCCTCCAACTGAATCTGAAATTCTAGTATATGATCACTCTTTTCTGGAAAATTGTTTACTAAGAAACAAACTAATCCCACCTCATTACACAATACCAAATCCAGAACAGCCTGCTCCTTGGTTGGCTCCCCAACATACTGCTGAGAAATAATCTCTAATATGGTCTATGAACTCTCCCTTCAGGCTACTTTTGCCAAATTGATTAATCCAGTCTATGCGCATTTTAAAATCACCCATGATTATTGCTGACCTTTCTGACAAGCCCCAAGTATTTCCTGGTTTATACTGTGTCCCACTCCAGGACTATTGTTTGGGAACTTATAGATTACTTCTACCAGGGACTTCTTCCCCTTGCTATTTCCTATTTCTAACCAGACTGACACTACATCTTCACCTCCAATGTTGATATCATTTCTCACTACAGCATTGATCTCTTCCTTTACTTAAAAAAAAGTACACCACTCCTTTTCCTTCCTGCCTATTCTTCCAAAACACTGAATATCCTTGAACACTCAATTCCCAAACCTGGCCTTCCTGAAACCACATCTCAGTCGTCACTATCAAATCATACCGATTTGTCTTTAATTGCATTGCCAACTCATTAATTTTATTCCAAATGCTTCATGCTCACGGGTACAAAACAATTCTCTAAAGGATGTTCATACATTCTGACCCTTCTTTTCTGGTAACAATCAGACGTCACTAACCTCCACCCCAGCCTTCTCCTTTAACTTTGACATTCTTATTTAACATGTAACCGAACCTTTCCCCACCTCCCAACATTTAGTTTAAAACCCTATCCTCATTTTATTCCTTATATACAAATTTAAAATTGTTAAAATGCTATGCAAACAAATAGTAAGAAAAGATCATGTCTTTACTGATAGGAAAACAAATACCCCAATCTACAACAATATTTTTTGACTCCCTTGTCAGTCAAGTATTTATCCAACTTAGTCTTAAAAATATTCAATGGCCTAGCCTCCACTGCTCTCTAGGGAAAAGAATTTCAGATCAATGATGCTCAGAAGAAAACATTCATCCTCAAATTAAATAGGAGACACCTTATTTTAAAATTATTAGTTCTAGTATCTCTCAAAAGGAGAACCATCCTGTCAAGTCCCTTTAGAATCTTACATGGTTAAATAAGATCATCTCTCATTCTTCTAAACTCCAATAGAGATACAGGCTAGACCTATCCTTGTCAAGTGAACTTCTCTGAACGGCTTCTAATGCCACTACTGTAGCTCCTTCCTTAAGTAAGGAGACTCAAACTCTACGGTACTCTGTACATTGCAGCAAAATTACAACAATTTTACATTCGCTTCTCTTTACAATGGACAACATCTAATTTGCAATCCCATTTTCATGTATGGAACTGGATTTTGCCCATTTAATTTCTTTGAGGATTTTGCACTGAAACTTAAGGTTACTTAAAGAACAAAAACGGCACAGCATTGTCCACAATACATAGTGTGAACAGGGGGAGCAACAGCATATCTCCAAAAATCAGAATGGCGCTCAGTCTGAACCAAGAGTACGAGTTTACAATAGCGAATGGAAGTTTGAATTAGGAATTAAAAGCAAAACGAAAAGAAACTTTGACTTGAGAAATAAGATATATGGAAAGAAAAATAGTTTAAAATTGTGTTTTGGAAATCCCAACAAATGAGACTCTACACAAATAAATGGCAATTTTCTGTGGCAGACAGATTAGTCGGCAGTAATTAAGATATACACAATACTAAAACTTGAACTGCACCAAAATGGATGAGCCCAAATTTTTTGGACAAGGTTTATTGGAAATCTACCATGCTAGTACACTAACTTCATTCTATTCCAGGTGTTTCAATGCAGAGTCTCTATGAGATACCAACATAACACAACTTTCAGGGAAGGAAGCTACCTTGGGATAATAAGGCCACAATTTCCAAACTTAACCATACAGTGGTGTCCAGTTTACACTTTTAATGGTTGTGAACAACATATTATTTCTACAGCAAATATCAGCTCAATATAATGCCATATTTTCCCCGTGGCAAAATTTATGCTGATTTGAAGGACACGCTGTATCTGGGACCATGCAGTCTGTTATAGTAGATCTTGTTGAGCCATGTAAACAGACAGCCAAGACATTAATTTTCAAAATATTCATACATCAGCTGAAAAGAAATTTTGTAGACAAAGCCAAATCAAATGTGCACTTGTTAAACGGGTATTCCATCCCAACACTTTCTCCACCCATATAGAGGATTTTAGTGCACTATTTCCCCATCAATAAAACAAAACATTTCTAATAAATTCACAAAAGTCATCTTAACCTGTTAAAGCATTAACAATTACAGCATATGCATTCATAAATCTTCTTTAAAGTAAAAAAAATTCTAGGGAATTCCACAAACATGTGATCAGACTAAAATGAACAGCCAAACAAAAGAAATATTAAACAGGATGGTTCAGGTCCAAGTAGCAGCTTTCAAATGACAGAGAAAACTAGAGAGGTAATGGATTATGAAGGGAATTCCATGGTTTAGGGTCTTGACAACTAAATGTAACGCCACTAATGGCAGAATGAAAGAAGTGGATGCATAAATGGCCAGAGTGCCAGGAATGGTGAAGGCATGGTCTATAGGTTAGAGAGATAGACAGAGAAAAGGTCATAAAAGTTTATAAATACAAGAATTTGAAATTGGATAAAAACCAAATGAACTGTGGATGCTGTAAATCAGGAACAAAAACAAAGTTGCTGGAAAAGCTCAGCAGGTCTGGCAGCATCTGTGGAGGAGAAAACAGTTAACGTTTCGGGTCAGAACTGAGGAAGGGTCACCGGACCCGAAACGTTAACTCTGTTTTCTCCTCCACAGATGCTGCTTTTCCAGCAACTTTGTTTTTGAATTTGAAATTGGAGGCATGGAGGAAGTCAAGGCTAATTTCTAGTATCTCTCAAAAGGAGAGATTTTGATAGTAAAGGAATGATTAGTGAGTGGGACAATTCAAAATAAGATATGGACAAAAGGGCGTTGAAGATGAAGTTTGCAGGACATGAAATATAAAGGTAGTTAATGGGAAGTACAAAAAAAAGACATGGAATGAGAGTTTCAGTAGAGACGCATTAAGCAGGAATGATAAGAATGTCGGTGATGAAGGACATGGGATGGGAATTCAGCCGAGGTCTAACACAATGCGACGGGCCAGAACTTTCCGACCGTCGACACAGCAGTGAAGCTCACGTAGGCTGAACTCCAGGAGAGGCCCTTCACCTTCGACCCGGAGTCTCCCGGTACATGACCCCCTCCCTCTTTCCCTAATCACCCAGACTGACCCAGGTACAGGATGGTCGGGATGAATCCCCAGCGGATGACGAACTGTCCGCAGCGGAATACCTGCTGCAGCCGCTGCTTAGCCTCTTTACTCATTTTGACCATCCTTGCTCGGCTTTCCCTACACGCTGCCGGCAGCAGGAAATGCTTCAGCGGAAAGGAAAATCGCAAACAGAAATGAGCCGCCGACAACAGCGCCGCTACAGCCTGGGAGGATGAAACATTTCCGTTTCCATCTGTGGGTCACAGCGCCCCTCCAGCCCAGTCACTGCAGCGCCGCCTATTGGGGAACTCGATTGCAAATTGGATCGGTCCTGACGGTTTACTCAGAGTTTGGGGAGTGATGGGCTTTTTGATATCACAGGGCAAACCTGGAAGTTAATGATCGTGTTAAGACTAGTAATAGAATCAATGTCAGAAGTTGTAACCATTGGTAAAGTGTGCTCAGATGGACATAAAATGCTGGCTTAAGAGAAAATCTCTTCAACTTTTCCCCTTTCCGCTCCTGTTCAAATTAATGGAGATATGAGGCAAAACTGACAATTCTTCCATAAACAATTGCAGAATTATACAATTGCAACTCATTTATTGAACAAACCAGAACAAATATAAGTGCTACATTTTTACCATTCTTGGGAAGAGACTGTTTCAAAATATGTTGCACCCTAAGTCTCTCTGAAGAGCAAATAAAAAAAAGGCAGAAATTTTAAAAGCTATGAAGGCATGCTTTGAGCCCAAAGTGAAAGTTACACATGAATGGTCTGTATTCAATATTAAGGAACAAAGTGTAAAAGGATCTGTTGATCAATATGTAACATAATTAACTCAGCTTGCAGAGACTTGTGAATCTGCAAAATTGAGCTGATTAGAGATAGAATTGTATTAGGAATAAAGGATCCAAAGGTGGAAACACATCTGCTGAGAGAAGACACGCAGGAGAGCAATTGAACTGTGCAGAAGTTACACAATGTGGAACTGGAGGAACACGGCAGGTCAGGCGGCATCGGAGGAGTAGGAAAGTTGATGTTTCGGGTCGGGACCCTTCTTCAGAACTCCTCCAATGCTGCCTGACCTGCTGCGTTCCTTCAGCTCTACACTGTGTTGTCTCGGACTCCAGCATCTGCAGTTCTTGCTATCTCTGTGGAACTGTGCAGAAGCGCCAAGATTGTAAGATAATGCAAATTCATGGCAGAACAAACTAGATCTAGCATGATAGTGTTAAATACTCCAGGGATACAGGGCAGAACAATCTCAAACAAAAGACACAATGCAAACACTTTAGAAGACATCATGTACAGATAAGTCATGTTCAGCAAGACAAGCAGTGTTATCACTGCAAAAATCTGAATCATTTCGCACACAAGTGTATGACAGAAAAGCAGCACAACAAGCAGGTACAGATAGCCATTGGAGAGATAGCAGCTATATGTGATGAGGAATCACTATACACCATACAATAGGTTGGTTCAATTGAGTCAATAAGTGAGACATGGTTTGTGAATGTTGGAATGGCATGCAGAAGGAGAATATCAGATCAACACAGAGAGGCAGATTTTCTGCTGGCTAGACAGTGGTTATGCCAGCGCAGGCAAGAGTTACACATAGGGACCCTGCAGATTCCCCATTGTAGCTCACTCTGAAAGGATTGCTCAGGGAGTTGAGTTTTCCACCGGGCAATTCCACTAGGCCTGGAACCCTCTGAAAGTGTCCATTTAAATTAGAGACTTCAGAGGATCTGATGAAATTAAGTATAATAGTTACTCAAGAAAAGTTAGACTCTCAAATATATAAATGAAACAAAGAACTGTGAATGCTGGAGATCTGAAATGAAAACAAAAATTGCCAATGAAACTCAGCAGATCTGCCAGCATCTGTGGGGAGAAACCAGAGTTAATATTTTGAGTCGGTGATCCTTCTTTTGAACCCTGGACTTGAAACATTACTTCTGCTTTCTTCCCAAGGATGCAGCCAGACCTGCTGAGTTTCGCCAGCAATTTCTGTTTTTGTCTTTCAAATATCCTGAGTAATTATTAAATTGACCACCCATACTTACCTCACACATACTGAACTACACCACCCATGGATAACTTACGTAGCCCAGACCCTGACCTGACACCCCAACCCAGAGAACAAGCACCCAGGAAACAGGCTCTGGATCTAACACCCACATCTAGGTTCAGAAACCAACAACCCCTCACTCCCCACATGCAAGCTCTGAACACCACCCTCCAAGCACCCGACTCCACTGCCACCATTCAACTCGAATCCCCACCACCATCACCGCTCTGAGATTGTACCACCACCAGACGTGGCCACCATTCCCCTTCTCCAAACCACACCCCACCCCACCCCAGTCCTGACCTGACCCCCACTCCAAATTCCCAGATCCAATGTCTAAGTGTCAGAATACCAGAGCTGACTGCTGTAAAAAGGCTGTGCTGACAGCTCTGTGCTACAAAAAACTGTTAGAATAAAAGTACGCGTTCACATTTCTGAGAGAGCCTGATGTGGAATGTCCTCTCAGAAACATGGATCTCCCTTCTTTCTTAAAAAAAAAGGAGGGTTGAAGACCAGAAATCTGTGTGAGATTCCACTCCCTGGAAAATCTGGCCCAAAATGTCAGATTGGTAACATCATGATCTTTATAGACTTGTGCAAAGAGGCTCAATATGGCAACCCAATAATGAAGCCCTTGACAGCAAGGGAAAGACTGCAAGATGTCGCCATACTTATTCTAAGACATTATGAGGCTACGGCAACAACATAACTAGAATCTAGAGTTCTAGATCATAGGGCTGCCCATGACCGAGCAGCATAAAATGGTCGATGACTGCTCCTGACAAGCTGTGAAGGACATGGCTGATATAAATTAGAGGATGTGGGAAAACACTGCCTAATGTAGTTTCAGCATGTAAAACAATAGCTGGTCTGTCTTAAATATGATAGAATGTACAGCTGCAATTGCCAACAACAGATAAGGACATTTCACAATAATTAGTTATCTTCCTTGAATTACTGACAATACTAAGAGTAGGTTCGAGTTAAAGATTCTTCAGATAATCAACGAGATAGATTCTGAAGTAGTTAAGGATCCACATATGCACAAAAATCACTAAAAACATTAGAGGAAAAAATTCAAATAAAATTATGAGAGAAAACCAGTCTCAGTAACAGCAATGCCCATATCATTAAAGGGAGAAATGAATTATCGGTCCAGAGACTAGCAGATGTTGGAATGTGGATTGAATGAACACATTATAAGACACTCAAGGATAAAGATGGGGGCGCCAAGTGAATACAGTAAGAAATAAATTGTCCACTCTTTAGCTAAGGAATGCTAACTATAGGTGTAAACATAAAGCTTTACATATAAATAACTTTATAATAAAACTAATACTATGAATTTTATAGCAGTTAGTAAGAACTAACTTCTTTTGTATCTCCTGTGATTAGGGCAATGGGAAATATAAAATGACTAACAGAATTCGAGCAGTCCTTAGAGATAAGCAAGTCTGGGAAATGCCTGAAGGAATATAATCATTAACTTTGGAATGTGAATTAATGGAATGCATTGAAAGATCCCAAGGCCTGGTGATAACAATGTCTGGTAAAACATCATGAGATCACGGGGAACCTAAGGCTGTCCATAGGGGTGTCCATCGTTGATTAGGTGTTTCACAGGATTGGATGTATAGATTAAGGGGGAAGGAACAATGACAATGTTGCATGTAATTATTGCAATGCAACATGTATAAAAATGCCGAATCCCACTGGGAAAATCAGAGCGTCATTGACTTCTGTTCTGATCTGAGCCAAAGATTAATAGGGCGACTGAGCCCCATATCAAGGCCAGGTTCAGGGTAGTCTGTGACCTCTCCCCGGCATGATCGGTGCTTGCTTGAATAAACAGCTACGTGCCCGAACTCTGCTGCCTCCTGAACTTTGTCCTGGTCTGGTCACTCCTACAGATGCCAAACAAAAACTATTCATTTCAGCAGAGCAAGTTTAACTTGGCGTGATAACTCTCAAGGTGTCGAAAGAGATTTGCAATGTTCAATAAACCATTGACCATGGAACAGACCATAGATGTGTTTGAAGATGTGTTTGCAGGGTTAGGATGTCCCCCAGAGGAATATCATCCTGAAGTCAATGACAATGCAAGACCAATTTAGCATCTGCTGAGGAGAATTCCAGCTGCCTTCCAGACCAGCCTGAAAGTAAAGACAGAAGAGCTGGATAAGCAGGAAGTAATCAAAAAAGTATCCACTCCTACTGAATGGATGAGCAGCTTGGTAGCAGTGAAACAACCTGGAAAGCTGTGAATATGCAAACAACCCAAAGAAAGCCCTAAAGAGATCTCACTGCTCCCTGCTAACCATCGAAGGAATTTTGCTAAACTTGCGAAGTTAAAAATCTTCACCATCCTAGATGTGAAGAATGGTCACTACCAAGGCAAGCTGTGTGAAAGCAGCAGCTTTCTAACCACATTCTGGATGCCCTTCAAGAGATACAGATGGTTAAGTTTGCCATTCGGCACATATCGGTAGTGATCTTCCCGGAGTGGAAGCTATTGTGGATTATAAATATGGAGAAACAATGGAAGAATACATTGCTGACCATGGTGAAAATCTACTGTAATCACATGACAGAGTTCACCAGGTGAACGTGAAGGTGAACAAGAGAAAGGTTCAATTAAAGATGCCCAAAATCAAGTGTATAGGCTATTCACTGACAGGAAAATGTCTTTGCCTGGATCCCAAAAAGGTGGGAGCTGTAGCAATTATACAGTAGCCAACAGATAGAAAAGCAGTACAGCAATTTCAGAAACAAAAGCAAAAATTGCTGGAAAAGCTCAGCAGATCTGGCAGCATCTGTGGAGAGAAATCAGAGTTAACGTTTCATAACGAGTGACCGTTCCTCAGAACCCCTTTCTCTTCACAGATTTTGCCAGACCTGCTGAGCTTTTCCAGTAATTTCTGTCTTTGTTTCTGATTTCCAGCATCCACAGTTCTTTCGGTTTTTATTCAGTACAATGATTTATTTGATTCAGCAGCTCTTCAGCAAAATTCTTCCCCTATTTGTCATCAGAATGTGAACCATAATGTCAACTCTGTCAAAGACATGCAGTAGTACTGGGGCACAGAAGAAGAGGCAGAACTCATTTAAACCAATCAGCTA